GTGGTTAAGTCCTTGGCTAAGAGATCCAGTATGTGTTTACCGCTGGCCAATATTCGGATGCTGTCCAGATGTGTATGTACGAGTGCACGTTTTCATGCCGCTCCCAGAGGATGTATTATTGGATGTCCTGCCTCCTCGTCCCATCTCCCTGACATAGATGATATGGTTCACTACCTGGTTTGCCCTAGGCTCAAACAAGTATTCTCTCTGTGGATGGGCTCTTGGGCTCCGAGGTCGCCTGGGTCTCCTGAGGGTTCGCCCTGGCTTCTTCCCTTCCTCCTTTTTCCGTGGGATGGGCCCTGATCAGTGTCTTTTAAGTTCCATGCTGCGCGATGCATTTCTCAGCGTGCACTCCTCTGTTCGTCACAACTTACCTGGCTCACCGTCGCAGCAATTTGAGGCGCGCCTCCGAATGCAAGCACGGAGGCATCGTGCTTGCAGAGTTGCGTGGTCTAAGCTGTCACAGATGCATGCATTGAGGCCTTCAACGCCGCATTGAATGCCTGCCCCCTCGGGCGTTCTGCCCCCGCTGAGTTTTGTCTTTGAGGCAAGGCTCTGCGTCAAAGCCCGCAGGCACCCCTGCCTCCCTGAGGCCTGGTGCGACTCTCGCACCTAGGCCTCTCGACAGATGGCGAGGGCGGGGGCTCCGCGTGGGGGAGCGCTGCCGCCGCGGGCGCCTGGCACCCGCGCGGCAGGTGGGGGCCCCCCTCGGACCGTGGGCCCCCCCCTCGCCACGACCGTGTTGAACTGCTCGACCAAGGAGTTGACCGCCTTATACTGGGGCCCCCTGGAGCCTCCTGAGCCCCGATGGGTGGAACAAAAAAAACCACACCCAATGGCCCCGACTGCGCGCCGGCCTTGCCAACCGGGCAGGCCCCTTCCCCACCGGGGACCATGCCTCAACGGAGACGCCTCGCTCACTCCACGTGAGCGCCACTTGCCTCACTGGGGGCTGGCGGGGTCGCAAAACGGCGCCCCGCCAGCAGGCCTGCAATTCCCCTGGCGCCCCCTTTGCGGCATGGTTTGCCGACCCCAGGAAAACATGCACCTTCCCTGCATTCCTCCTCTCCTCCCCATTCTGCCTCGCCCCCCACCTTCTCCCTCCACCTCTGCAAGGGGGCGGCTGGGAGGGGCCGCCGGTAGGACAGGCAGGGGCGCCCGTTGCCCGAAGGCGACTTTCTAAGGGGGCTTGCTTTCGGGAAAGGGGCTTCGGGGTTGGGGGCGCGCAACATCCTATCCTTGTCCTCTTCGGTCGTCAGCTGGATCCGTACACGTGTTTTGTGGCGCAGGCGCCGTGGCAGCTCCGCGGTCGGGGCGTTCGCCGTCCCCGCGCAGCCGATGGCACAATTGCAACTTCTGACACCCACCCACCCTACCCCTTTCCGCCAAACTGGACGCGGACGAACGCGGAGGCTGGCAGCAGAAGGCACGCCTGGTGTGCCCAGCTTTCTGGTGGACGGCTGGGCCCACCTGCGCTGGGCACGCCTGACATTCGCCTGCCCGCCCCTCTCGCTCCGTTCCTCGATCTGGAACATGTTGGTAGTTGCTTGCCCCACGTCCTTTCTCACCGCTGCTCAGGCTTGCTTCCTTGGTTTCCTGGTTTCTCCCGCGTTGCGTGTTCTGGCTCATTGGGGGTGGGCCGCCCTGGACCTGGAGCTGGTGACGCTTGCGCGCTTCATGTCCGTCTCTCCACATTGGGCTTTCGGCTAAGACGCTCTGCTAGCCCTGTTGCTGATCGCCCCTCCTTTGGCCACATGCTGGGGGTCCTGATCACCTGGACAGTGCTCTCAGCGCGGTGGGCGCTCTTCGGTGCACTCGTACCGTTCTGCTTGCCCGGCTCCGCCTGCCTCTCCTCCTTTTCAATTTCCTCTTCCCACCTGGGCCGCTCTGTCGTGCCCGCCGCCAGTTCCTGCTTACCCTTGCAGCGCCCCCGCTGCCCCCTGCACAGGCGCTGGGTGGCCTCGCCTGGAACGGCTGCAGATCGTGGAGTTTTACGACCTGATTTGCGACGGTCCCTTCACACCCTGGCCCTTGTCGTCTATCTCTTGCCTGGCTCACTGTGTACCGTGGTGCCTCCAGGGAATTGGTTTGCGCGGGCCGGGTGCTTGTTTCGCAGCGCCAGATTCTACTGACCCTGGTCGTCGTTACTTGGTGCCATGGTGTTTCTGACTCTTCGCCCCAGGCTTTGGTACCCGGTCTTTTCATGACTTCATGTGAAAAAAAAGCTTTGCCTGGGTTTGCCCCCACCTTCGACACCCTGGTTATCTTTCCTCCTGGACTTCAAACTCTCGCTGTGCTCCGCGCCGCCGGCACCCTGACACGAGCTGCATGTTCTGAGTGTGGTCTCTCCCCCTCCCGGGCCTCTCAGTCCGCGCGCGCGCTCGCCCCGGCGCCCGCCTCCCGTGCCCCAGTTAGTGTGTCATTGCGCCCCAGTGCCGCCCCGCCGGCCAAAAAGTGTGCGTGTGTGTGTGATTTGAAATTCAGCCGCAGACACCGCAGCCTCGGGCTCCGCGGCCGTCAAGTCCTGCTCCCCTGCTGCCGCGCTGGCAAGGTTCTTCTGGGCCTCTTGGAGGATTCTTGGAGCCTCTTGGGGGCCTCTTGGGGGCCTCTTGGGGCCTCCTGGGGGCCTTTTGGAGCGGAAAACCAGATTCTTCTTTTTGTGTTCCTCTCTTGGGCCCCTTTTGGGGCCACCTCGGGGCCCTCTTGGGCCGCCTTGGACGCCTATTGACAGTCTTTGGAGCGCTCTTAGGCCATCTTGGGGCCCTCTTGCAGGCCACTTGGGCCGTTTTGGGGTGGTCTTGGGGGCCTCTTGGGTCGTTTTGGACCGTCGAGAAATCAGAAAAGGCGGGAACGCCCAAATCTGGCAAAAATTTTAGGACAATCAATGATTTTTGTCTCTTGGGGCTCTCTTTGGAGTCCTCTTGGGGGCCTCTTGGGGCGTCTTGGAACATGGGCCATCTTGAGGCCATCTTGGGAGTCTTCGAGCGATCGTTCGGCGATTCGGGGCCCTCTTAGGCCGTCTCGGGGGCTTCCTCGGCCGTCATGGAAGCTTTGGAGGGCCCTAGGGAGGCGCCATGCTCGCCCAGGGACCCCCCTTGAGTAGGGGCGATGCAGCCGGGTGGGTGTGTCCTGGTGCCAGGCAACCTGTGGCATACTTCCACGCCTTAACGTGCCGCAGGCACGATTTACTCAGGAATCTCGCTCATGCTCGAAATTTCTTTGCAATATGCTTAAGAATCGCGCTCTCGCTCGAGACCTGCGCACAATTCATTCAACAAAAGCACGGTCTCGCTTCGGATGTTTCTTCTATTTAATGAGAAGTTGCGCTCCCGCTTGGGACTCCGAGCGACTTTCGCCTCAGGCACCGCGCTCTCGCCTGGCTTTTTCTCGCCGCTCGGTTTACTGTTCTTCTCGCCCGCCCGGCTCGTTAACTCGGGTCCGCCCGCCCTGCCCATCCGCCAGCGTGCGCCCGTCCGCTCCGCCCGCTGCGGTCCGTCCGCCCCTTCGCTTTCTCGTGGAGGCCCGCCCGCACGCGTTGTTGTCCGTCCCGCCCGACCCGCTCGTTAGGGCTGGCCCGCCCGACCTGCCCGTCAAGGTCGGCCCACCCAACCGCTCGCCCGGCCCCCTGGCATTCCAGGTCGGGTTTCGCCCAGGAGCTGGCATAGACGAAGAGGGCGTGGTCGGGGGCTCGGTGCATACATGCTGGATGGTACGCGAGCAGCTACAGGCGAACCTTCTTGGACTGATTGCGTCTTCACTTTTGCAAACGGTGGCCTTGCAAGGAACATGTTTGACCCCCCCGCCAGTGCCAATAGTGCTTTCTCATTTGAGGTATCCCCTTCTGCTTTCGCTGTTTTGGGGGAGGAGGTAATGTCGTCATGGTAAAATCGTGTCCCCCCCGCTAACAACAGCACCACCACCACCACCACCAACAACAACAACAATTTCAACATGCGGAACTGTCCGCATACTCCCTCGCCATGTACTCAGAGATATTTTGTCCTTCGATATTTCCGCGGCAGAGCCTCACGACTTGAACAATCGCTGTGGAATTCCTGACAGTTTATTTTCGAATCGCGTTAATCGCCTTTCAAACGCGCTCTTGCCTGGGACGTCATCGAAATCTATTGTCGGATCTCGCTTTCGCCTGGGACATCCTTACAAGTTCCTAGGGTGATCTCTCGCTTGAACCGCGCTCTTGCAATTCACGAATTGAGTTCCTCGCCATCATCTTCAAGATCCCGCCCGCCTATGAGGGCCAGGGACCGCCCGCCCGACCCCGACCCACCCGCTTTCATATCTCGCTCGCCCGCCCCCGTCAGGTGGGGTTCGCACGTTCGCTTGGTCGGAAGCCCACCCGCCCGCGTTGAGGTCCTGCCCACTTGTCCCGCAAGTTAGGGTCCGCCCGTTCAACCCGCCTGTTAGGGTCCGTCCTTCCGACCCGCTTGTCTTCCCCTTGTCGGGATTTACCAAGGAGGGGTTGCGTTTATACTCAATGATGGCAGGAGTCGCAGGTTCGGGGTATGCATGTTGAGGGACGCGCGTGCAATGATTAACGATCAGTCTCAAAACGATCTTCGTTCATGTTTTGATTCCTCCTAGTCTGGGCCTCTGCGTACCTCCCAGACCATCAAATATTGTTGGGGCAGGGCGGAAAACCGGTCCACGAGATGGAACCGAGAGGTCCGCCTTTGGCAAGCCATGGGGGGGGTCGCGCACAGACAGCCCCCAGAGGGTAGTGTTGGTTGGCCCCCGGTCTCGCAGGGCAGTCCAGATGGGTCCCAGCATCTCTAGGCTGCCTCGTGGCGACGCCCACGGGGCGCTCCGCGCCCTGGATCGGGGTGGTGAGGCCGCCCCTCGGGGCTTGTCGATTCCGGCCTCGAACCCATGGGGGCTGTCAGTGCGTGACCCCCGCCCTGCCAGGCCAACGTCACAAACGAGTCCTGACGTTGGGCGGTCTTGGGAGGATGGGACGGATGGGAAAGCATGCCTCGCCTTGGAAGCACTGTTGGAGGCGGCTGTCGGAGCTCCCTCGTCCTCTTCCTCTCCCGCCCGCCTCTTCTTCCTCCTCCTGTCCTCCTCTCTCCGAAGCCATTTTTGGCTCAAGGCCCCTTAGATCCCAGTCGATCTTGCGCCAAGCCATCGGAGCGTCAGCCGGGGAAGATCTGTTCCAGCCCCGCGGCTAGGTTTGAAGAGATGGCTCCGTCGCTGACCAGCAAGCGGAACAGAGGTCGGCCGCGCGCAGAGGGGGGTAGGTGGAGAGGGGAAGGCTTCTCAGAAGTGGGCCGCTTCTTAGAGGGCGCGAGCCTTGTCTGTAGATGTAAGGCCCGCGCCTTCTGAGGAGCAGACTCCTCCCAAAAAGCCTCCCCCCTTCCCCTACCCCCTTCAGCGCGCCGCCAAAGAGGCTCCTGCCTCGCGGCCGCCCTCGCACTGGCCGCCGCGTGCAAGATGCTGGAGGGCCCCCTCGGCTTCCTCCCCGCGGCCAGGGGGCCGGGCCTGCAAGCGCGCAGCAGGCCGCTGGCCGCCGCGCTCGGCCAGGCGCGCGGCGCCCGCCCGCTCGTTGCGATGGCCGCGCGCGACGTCACCCCGTTCGCAGACAAGGTCGAGGAGTGGTTTGACGGGGAGGTCGTCAACATTGCCCCGTAGGGCGCGTTCGTCAGGATCACCCTGGACAGCGGCGAAGAGGGGCAGGGCCTGGTCCACGTGTCTCAGATAGCAGACACCTTCGTGCAGAACATCAACGACTTCGTCGAACCTGGTAAGGCGGTCAGGGTGAAGATCATCGGCTGTGACACCAAGACCAACAAGTTGAGCCTGAGCATGAGAGACGGCGCCGGCGGCGCCCCCCGTGCGGAGAGGGAGCCCGTTGATCTGACGCCCTTCGAGAGGATCGGCGCGGCCACCTGGATCAAGGGCACGGTCGCGAGCATCGCCTCCTTCGGTGCTTTCGTGGAAGTCAAGGCCCCGGACAGCGACGCCACTGCGCGCGGCCTGGTGCACATCACGCAGGTCAAGGACGGTTTCGTGGAAAGCATGGAGGACGAGCTCGAGGTCGGGCAGGAGGTTCAGGTCCGTGTGGTCAGCGTGGACGCGGGGACGGGCAAGATGGGACTGAGCATGAAATCCGAAGATGCCGAGTGAGTGAGACCTCCACCGTCTCCTCCCCTCCTCCTTCTCCTCCTTTCCTTCTGACTCGCCCATTATTTTGCGGTGCTAGCTGGTCACCGCCAGTGAATCGTCTATGCGCCCACCGCTGTATACCAGCTCCAGTTTATTCACAGCGCGTAGTTAGATAATGTTTACAGCATCGCAACTGTTCCCCAGTGAATGTTGTTTCTCGATTTTGTGGAGCAGCGCTCGCATAATCAGGCTCGCCAGGAATGACTTCGAGCAAGGAGCAGATCCCTCTCCCCCCCTCGGTCTCGGGGCCGACCCTCGAGTTCCCTAGGGCCGTGAGTCGTTCCCCTTTCGTCGTCGTCGTCGTCGTCCTTTCCCTACCCCTTGCTGGGCCCCGTCCTGAGTAATGCGTTTCCGTGGCGGCCCTCGGGCCAGGACGCTCGCTTTGGGGGGTGCCCCGAGAGGCCCCTTCGCCCCTTGCGTTACAGGCCACCTGTGTTTTTTTCCTCCGAGCCTGACGTAGTTTTGGTCGTCCTGACAAGACAAGAGGTTCTGTGGAGTTCCGTTCCATTCTCCTTGTCTTCCTCCTCCCTTATTCTCCAGTCGTCGTCGTCCTCCTCCTCTCTCCTAATCCTTGTCCATCCTCCTCTTCTTCCTCCCTCCTCTCCTACCTCAGTCCTTCCCCTTTGTCCTGTTTCCGGCCTCCTGCTGGTGCTCCTTTTTCCCCCTCCCCCTTTACATTTTGCTCCCTCCTCCATCGGACTCCCTCCGCCTCCTCCCTCCGCCTCCCTTATCCCCTCCTCCCCGTCGTCCTCTCTCGCGCGCAGCCTGCACGAGCGGCTTCGCGCCCTCGAGGCGCAACCTGCTGAGCTTAAATCTGCCCAGTGCAGGACCGTGTCGAACATCTCCTCGCCTCCTCAATCCACGGACGGCTTGGAGGCCCACGTTGCTTCCCATGCGGCGCACCACCAGAGCTATACCGTCGAGGCGCCCCCGACTCCAGCTACCGCCTCGAGGTCTTGAAAGCAGCTCACCCTCCAGGATGCCTTCGCTCGTGCGGCCCGCCAGGAGGTATGGAAGGACATCTACGCCATGGTGCTAGACATACGCAACACTGCATGTGATGTGTGTATGTCTTGAAGGTGACCAAGGCCGAGAGCCGACTGATGCCTTGCATGAGCCGCGTGTTTTGCTTTTGCTCTTCCGCGTTTCCCTGTTCCCTGGCTCCTGGCTGTCTTGACCACGTACGCGTAGTCTTGACGCCGCCGTCCGCCTCTGTATGAATGCTCGCCATTTCGTGATAAGCTTGAGCCGTCTGGAGCCGTCTGGAGCTCTGGAGCCCTGCCGCGGCATTGAATCAGAGTCGGGCCGGTCTAATTCTTAGCCGCTCCCATGGTCGCGTGATCCCCCTTCTCCTCCGCTCCACTCCTCCTCTCCGTTCCTTCCTCCTTCACCTCCTCCTCCACTCCTCCTCCTCCTCTTCCTCCTCCTCCTTCTCCTCCTCCACCTCCTCCTCTTCCTCATCCCTCCCCCCTGGCACGGTTGAGATGAATCAGATGAGAGTGGGGCAGAGGCTCAGGAAACGCCCGGTCGACCCATCCCGAAGTGGGAATGCCTTGCAGTTCTTGCCTCGACCTCTGGTCCCTGCCTGGCTTGGTCCATTTCAATCCACCAATCGGAACAAGGGTGCGTTCCTACCCCTAGTCCAAATCTCCCCTGCTCCTCCGTCTTCCACTCCGTCTCCATCTTCTCCTCCTCCTCCTCCTCCTCCTCCTCCTCCTCCTCCTCCTCATCCTCGTTATCCTCCTAGGCGGCTCCCCAGCGCGGCCCCGCGCAGCCGTCTTGCCCGCGGCGGGCGCGGGCGGCGCGCGGATGGGCCCGTGAGGACGGGAGCCCCCAGCCCGACAGGCGAGTGTGTGGAGACGTGGAGAGCATCATTCGGGGCGACCTGGATGGCGTGGACCGAGTGCGCCCAGCACGATGTGTACATGAGGCGCCCGTCCAAAGCCAGCAGGAGAGCCCACAGACGGCTAATGCTCCACGTGCGCCGGCAAGCCTCCCTGGATCTCGGACTGGTCGAGCTGGACTTCAGCACCTCCTGGCCAGCCTCGCCATTTGACTACGGATTCGTCGAAGGGTGGCTGCAGGAACCTGCGTGCGAGTAGTGGGAGACGAAGATCGAGCCCGATACGACCAGCTACAGTGCAGAGATCAGGGCGTGCGAGAAGACGACGGCGAGGACAGAGAACGAGACGTGGGATGCGAATTGGGAGGCGAAGACAGAGCCCAATATGACCAGCTACAGCGAAGCGATCAGGGCGTGCGAGAAGGGAACGGCGATGGAGCCCGACGAGCCCAGCTACAGCTCTGTGAACAGTGAGCGCAAGAAGTCGGAGGCGAAGCTGGAGCCCGACATGATCTGCTACACCACTGCGATCAGGGCAACAGTGGCGGGGGCAAAACTGGAGCCCAATAGCACTAGCGTGTTCCCCCCGTCACCTATTGTCGCCACGGCTGGATCAGTGAAAACGGCATGTGACACTGTTGCGGAGGCGAAGTTGGAGCCAAACGTGATCAGCTACAGCGCAGCGAGCTTGGATCCCGACGTACACAGCCCTAGCCTTGTGAACGATGAGCGCGAGAAGTCAGAGGCGAAGTTGGAACCCGACAAGATCAGCTACAACGCCGCGATCAGGGCAGCAATGGCGGAGACAAATCTGGAGCCCACTATCGCTAACGTTTCCCCCTTGGCTCCCCTCGTTGCCACGGCTGGATCCGAGAAAGCGGAGTGCGAGAAGCGGGAGGCGAAGTTGGAGCCAAACGTGATCAGGTACAGCGAGCGGACGGGAAGTGTCAGCCAACAGTAGTTCGTGTGAGAAGAACGGACAGTGGCAGCCCCAAAAAGGAGCGGCCAGTTCGTGCGAGAAGGACGGGCAGTTGCAGCTACGAGAGGCTGTCAGAGCGTGCGAGAAGAAGTTGGAGCCCAACATCATCGGCTACAGTGCTGTTGCCGACCCCACGAGATGCGAGAAGTTGGAGGCGAAGGCGACGAGAGAACCCAACGTGACCAGCTACAGTGCAGAGAGCACTCGCGAGAAGTGGGAGGCGACAAATGGGCCCGACGTGACCAGCTGCAGCGAGGCAGTACTGGCGGAGGCGAATCTGGAGCCCAATTTCCCTTGCTCCTCCTCGTCCCACCTTGTCGCCACGGTTGGATCCGAGAAGACGGAGTGTGTGAGCAGCTACAGCGTCAGCAGGGCCACGTGGAGAGCACGCGCCCAAATCGCCAGGACGTGGCTTGAAGGCGGCGATGCGATAGAGCCCGATGCCATCAGCTACAGTGCTGGTATCCAATGGGAAGCGGAGGACATACATGGAGAGTGGGGGCCCCTCCCGAAAACTGACCAAAAGAAGGTGGAGAGGCGATATCACAGATATCTCCACCCAAATGGTAAGAAAAAACGGCACGTTCACCATCACAGGGTCGAGCGGGAAGCCCACGTGGCCCTTCAGAGCAGATTTCGACAACATGCTGCTCCTGAGGGCCACGAGGGCGACGGCTTCGAGCAAAAGCGTCAGGATACGCCGCGTACGAAGCTAGGGAAGAGGAGCGCAGATTGTGAGAAGTGTGAGAAGTGTGAGAAGCAACGGTACCTGCGCGCGGTCAGGTCACTGGAGTGCGGACGTCCGCCCGAGGTGCTGCAGAGGGGAAGCTCGGGCGACGAGGCGCGGTGGAAACATACCTCACCACGTGAGAAATGAACCTGCTTGAAAAACATCCTCCTTATCCTCCTCCTTTTTTGTATGCCCTCATCATCATTCTCCGCATCCTCCGTCTCCCCTCCTCTTCTCCTCCTCTCCTTTTCCTTCTGCTCCTCCCCCTCTTCCTCTTCCTCCTCCTCCTCCTCCTCCTCCTCCTCCTCCTCCTCCTCCCCCTCCTCCTCCAGCGCCTGCAAGGGCAGAGGCCGAATCCCACGCGCGGCCGCGGGCAGACTGTTTTGGCTCGAGGCCGCCAGGGCGGGCGAAAGCAGCAGCGCCGTCCGCATCATGGAGGCGGGAATGGCCGCCCAGTTCGAGCAAGCTGGGCACCCAGACCTCCCACGCACTGGAATGTGCAATGTTTTTTTTCGGCCTCTGGGGTCCCTCGCCGGGCCCCAGGACCGTGACCACATCGACTCAGGATGCAAAGCTGGCCCTGGGGAGCGGGTCGGGACGTCTGAGGACCCCGTATTGAAAACACAGTACATCGGACCTCGGGATAAACTTGGCGCGGCTGGCCGTTGCGAGAGCCTGTATACACACGTGGCCGCATGTTTTCCCAGCGTTCGTCCCTCGTGCGGCCAGGTACCCCGGCCCGCAGCACGTTTACCTATCATATGTTTTCCACGTGCTTCGCGGGTGAATTCAGCCGCGTTGGTTTTCAGCCTCCTGGTAGCGCTGCAGTTCCCTGGGCTGCTCCTCGAGTGCTCGCATGTCGCATGTCCCGTGCGACGTCGATCGTACATCGTTTGCGCAACTCTGATGTTGTACTAGCCATCCCCAGCGGTCCTGTGAATTTCCGTATGAGGCCCAACCTGTGAACCGGGTTCTCTCTGTGGTCATTGTGCTGAATTGTGATTCGCATGATTAGCTCGGTGGTTGCGGTCACGCGGGGGTTGGTTGAGATTACTCCCAGGTCCATGCGCCATGCCGCCGGCCTCCGGGAAGTTCTCGAGGGGCGCAAAACATATGTTATTCGAAGGGGGTGTAGTGACTGACGGCATTGGTGCAGATTGTGTTCGGCGGTGTGTTGGGTGATGCGTCGCGTTGGCGAACAAAGCAGACGCACATCTGTTTGATCAGTAATTTCTACCTTCGAAGTCTCTTGTCTGTCTGCCAGTATGTCTGTGTGTGTGTGTGTCGGTCGGTCGGTCGGTCTGTCTGTCGGTTTGTCTGTCTGTCCGTCTGTCTGTCTGTCCGTCTGTCTGTCTGTCTGCCTGTGTCTGTCTCCTTCGTTCTCTCCCTCTTCTCCCTAATTGTATATACGTAGATATGTGTACACATAAACATATTAGTTACGTCGCGGTGCATGAGTATCTGGGCTCTCCCCTGGTCTTGGTTTGCTGCACTGTAGCTTGAAACGCGAGCTCTGAGAGCAAACCGTGAGGGAGCCTTAGGAGCACTCGCAGCAGCAGCAGCAGCAGCATGTTGCACTCATCCGGGGCTGTGATGGCTTAGTCGTGATTCGAGCGTTCGCATAAACGCCATCCGTGGTAGCTGGAGCCATGGTCCCCTGATGCCCTGCGCCCGCGGCAAGCGAGGGCACGACTCTCGTCAATTCCGGAAGGCCTCAGCAGGGGCCCGCGCCATTTTGCGGCGGTCAGGCGCCTTTTCCGGTCAGAAAGGAGAAAGAGGATAATCGGGGAGCTCAAAGAGAGACGCCATCAAAATGGTGGCAACGGCAGAGCAATTGCACCAGCTGCTGGCGTCGGTGCAAACGATGCCGCAGCAGATGAGGGCTCTCCAGCAGAAGAACCAGCAGGCCCGCGAGCAGCTGGCGAGGGAAATTGTCGACAGGGTCATAAGAGAGAAAACCTACAGGGAGTAAGTCGATAGGAGAATCAGCAGCCGAAGTAGCGATGAACCGCCGGCGGAAATGAGAGCCAGCTCAGCAGCGCAACGGCGTCAAAATGTGCATCCGACGTGTTCGATGGAACCCAGGAGGCGTGGAGGAGCTGAACTCTCAAGTTTCGCTCGTACGTCGTGGCCACTAACAAGGGCCAGGTGGTCGTCTGGATGGACTACGTGGCCGCGAACAGGGACACGAACCCAGAGCTCAGTCAAACTCGTCGCTGCTGTATGGGGGCCTCGTTCCCACTTGCGGGTGGAAGAGGTTGACCATTGTAGAGCGAACGATGGAGGGAGAAGGGCGTGAGGCCTGGAAACTGCTCCTCGGAAAGGACGACGTGCAGTCGCGGCAGACGCGGGTCATCAGGATTATCCTGCGGTCTAGCAGCAGCACATTGCATTCATCAGTAACTGTGATGGCTTAGTTGTGTTCAGAACGTTCGAAAGAGCGTGTTCTACCGCTGCTGGCAGAAAACCGGGGGGGGTCACTACCGGTTCGAACCCCTCCCCCCCCCCCCCCCGGAAAACCGGGGGGGGTCACTACCGGTTCGAACCCCTCCCCCCCCCCCCCGCTCATCATGAAAAGGGGGGGGGGGTCACTACCGGTTCGAACCCCCCCCCCCCCCCCTCGAAAACCGAGTGGGGGTGCGGACAGTGGTGGGGACGGTGTTGGTGGGGACAGTGGTGAGGGGACAGCGGGACAGTGGTGGGGACAGTGGGGGGACAGTGGGACAGTGGTGGGGACGGTAGTGGTGGGGACAGTGGTGAGGGGATAGCGGGACAGTGGTGGGGACAGTGGGACAGTGGGACAGCGGTGGGGACGGTAGTGGTGGGGACAGTGGTGGGGACAATGGTGGGAACAGGGGGGGACAGTGGACAGTGGTGGTGACGGTGGTGGTGGGGACAGTGGTGTGGGGACAATGGGAACGAGGTGGAAACAGTGGGACAGTGGAGGGTACAATGGTGGTGGGGACAGTGGTGAAAGCGGTGGCGAGGACGGCGGTGGGACAATGGGACAGAGGTACAGTGGGGACAGTGGTGGGGACAGTGGGGACAGTGGTGGGAACAGTGGGACAGCTCAGTGGGACAGCGGAGGAGTCAGTGGGACAGTGGGGACAGTGGGGATAGTCGGGCAGTGGTTGGGGCCGTGGAGACAGTGGGGAGAGTGGAACCGTGGTGGGAACAGTTCTGGGGACAGCGGGGACAGTGCGACAGTGGTGGGGCCACTGGTGGGGACAGTAGGGGCGGTGGTGGAACCAGTGGGGACAGCGGTGGTGAGGACAGTGGTGCTGGGAACACCAGTGGGGGATGTGATGCGGACGGTGGTGGGGACCGGGAGTCGTTTGCTGGCGGTGAGTAGGGGGGGGGGGGGGGGGGGGGGGGGTTCGAACCGAACCGGTAGTGACCCCCCCCGGTTTTCCGGATCCGGAGGGGGGGGGGGGGGGGGGGGGGGGGGAGGGGTTCGAACCGGTAGTGACCCCCCCCGTTTTCGAGCGGAGGGGGGGGGGGGGGGGGGGGGGGGGGGGGGTAGGGGAGGGGGGGGGGTTTTGCGGGGGACGGGGAGGGGTTCCGGCAGGGGGGGGGGGATTTTCGGAGGAGGGGGGGGGGAGACCCCCGGGTTCCGGAGGAAAAGGTTGGCAATTTTCCACAGTAAAGCGGCGGTGGATCACGCTCTCTCGAACGTTCGCATGAACGCTATACGAGTGGTATTTTAATGGTCTGTTGTTTTTGTCACGTTCTTTCTCACTTGTTTCCATGCACGTGCCTCTCCCCATCTCTGCTTCTTTCTGTCTCCAGCTTCCCTCTCTTGTTTCTGCCGCGATTCGTTTTCATATATTTGTATCGATCCAGGGGGCGCGGACCCCCCCCCCGTCCCGAAACGGGAGCCCCAGCGTCCAGGGTTCCTGGGCGCCCCCTCCGAGGGTTCCGCGACATTTCCGGGCCTCGTGGCAGTCCCTGCCAAGTCGTGCAAACGGCTCGGCGGCGGTCCCAATAAACCCAAAGACAGTCCATGATTGCCTCTAGCGGCCCCAGGCCCCCGCCAGGCGGCCAAATCACCCCCACCAGGTTTTCGAGACGCGGAGGAGGTTGTTTTCCTTATGGCTTTTGTACGATTTAGGACTATTCGGTTATTCGGTCTTCTGGGAGCCTGGTAACGCCTGAGAAGCATCGAAACCGCTCCAAGAAGACCGGACACCCCAGGAGAATCCCAGCACGGCCCAAAAGGGTTCAGAAAATTATTACAGAAGGCCACATGGCGGCCCAAAATCGCCCCACGACGCCCTCCGGAAGCACCCGGACCGTGTCCCAAAACCATGGTTCGCAGCGTTGTGGTCCGAAAACCCCCTCCGAGGCGGCCAAACTGCGCCAGCGTGAATGAGGAAGGGGAAGAGGAAGAGGAAGAGGACACCTGAAGGCAGGAGAAAATCTAGTAACGCTAGTGACGGAAATTGCAATCAAGAGCGATCGCTGTTTTGGTTTACATTTGTTTGTTCATCCTGCCTGCATGGTAGACGTGAAGGATCAGGGTGCGTGGCGCGAAGCGCTAGTGCAGTCTTACGTGTATGTTCAATGTTCAGCTACATGTATGGATATACGTATGTGTGTATGTTTGTATGTATGTATGTATGTATGTATGTATGTGTGTACGTATGTATGTATGTATGTATGTATGTATGTGTGTATGTATGTATGTATGTATGCATGCAGCAGTGTATGTATGCGTGTGTGTATGTATGGGTTGCATGCATGTGTGTATGCATGTATGTATGTATGTATGTATGTATGTATGTATGTATGTATGTATGTATGCATGCATGCATGTTTGTTTGTATGTATGTATGTATGTATGTATGTATGTAATGCATGTATGTATGTATGTATGCATGCAGCAGTGTATGTATGCGTGTGTATGCATGGGTTGCATGCATGTGTGTATGCATTAATGTATGTATGTATGTAATGCATGTATGTATGTATGTATGTATGTATGTACACATGCACGTATACGTATGCAGGTGTGTGCATCTATCCTGTATGCTAAGGATCGCTTCGCTTCGCCTTATAATATTGATCCTTGCGCCTACATATTTGATTGACTCTGCGGTTAGCATATTCATGTAGGCGCAGCACTGCCACGACCCACTCCCGAACCTGACGTTGGGGAAGCTAACCTGGCGCAACCCCGATTGGTAACAGACCCGACGCGTTCCTTCCAAACCGAACGCCAGGTTCGGCACTCGCCCAGCACGAAGGGACCCAGCTGTGGTCGCCAGTTGTCTCGCGCCGGAGGTGGCGCTCGCAAAATACGGATGTAGCCGAGGCTCAAACGAGAGTACCAGTCTCACGCACGGATGCGGCTGGCGTTGGAGCAGTAACACAACTATTGCGAATTTACGTGGCTGGCGCTTGGGCGGAGCACCATTCCGTCCATGAGGGCTGTGGGAACCGTGCGAGTGGAGCGGCATCACAATAGTCAATCAGGGGTGTGGCTGGCGCTTCGGAATGAGCGCCGCGTTCCATGAAGGATTTGGCCAGGGCGCAGACGGCAGCATGATTCTCAGACAGGGGTGTGGCCAGCGCTCGGGCGAGAGCGCCAATCCCACCCAGGAGTGGGGCTTGTGCGCGATTGGCAGCATCATCTACAATCAGGGCTGTGGCCTTCAGACGCCTTGGGAAGCTTCCTGGAAATTTTTGGAAGCATTCTGGAAACTCTGGGGGCCTCTTGGGCTTTCTTGGGGAATCTTTGGGGGCTCTTTTGGGCCGGCTGTGGGCCCTCTTGGGTTGTCCTAGGGCCCCCTTGGGCCGTCCTGCGGAGCTGGGGCCGTCTTGGAGCCCCCAAGGGGCCCTCTTTGGCCGTTCAGGGGGCCTCCTATGACCCTCTTGGAGCTCCCTTGGGGCCCTTTTGGGGCCCTCTGGCGCCCCTCTTGGCCGTCTTGGGGCTCTCTTGGGCTGTCTCGGAGCCCTCTTGGGCCGTCTTGGGACTCTCTTGGGGGCCTCTTGGGCCGTCTTGAGGCGATACCGGGAGCCTCTTGGGCCATCTTGGACGCTGTCCGAGCTGGAGATTTTCCCGTAAGGAATCTTGATGATTGTTGCCTCTTGGGGGCCCTCTGGGGGGCCTTCTGGGCCGTTTTCAAGCCTCTCTTGTCGTGAAGAAGCCGTCTCGGGCCGTCTTGGGGCCGTTTCGGGCCTCTCTGAGGCCGTCTGGGAGGTGCCTTTTGTGGTCTGGGAGCCCGCTGTAAGCCCCAGGGCGCTCCCGTAGGGTTTCCTTTGGGCCGTCTGGACGCATTGTGGAGCTCTCATGGGGGCCTCTTCGGCCATCAGGGGGGGCCGAATGCGTATACCTCCCCCCACGGGAGGGGGGGACGGTGACATGCCGGGCTATTCTGTGTAATTTCACAGGTAGAAGGAATATATATATATATATATAAATAAATACACACACATACATGTGTATATATATATATATATATATATATATACATACATACATGCATGCATCCATCCGTAGCCATTTTGGCTCAAGCCTCAGCTTGCCGAAATGTGTTGCGCAATTCACGCAGCCATTTTGCCCCCGCGCGCCCCGCACTGCGATCGCGTCTGTGCGTAAACTGAGGTGTTTCCAGTTCCTGCAGTCTCGGACGCATTCATGATGTTTCGATCGATGTCGGCTGAGCTGGACCTGGCGCTTTCCATATTTCTTGGTCTGTGTGCAGGTTTTCTGTCTCTGCCTATTCCGATTGCGATTGTTACTGGTCAACTTACGAACTTACGATTCATTGTTGCACTTCTGGTAAAGGGTCCAAGAATACCGATCCACTGGATCAGCTGTCCTGGCGGCGCGTGCTTGGCTTCCGCGCTCACTCTTCGGGATCTCGTTACAGGTGAACAGGGCTGCTGGCTATGCTAAGCATTCTCAGTTTATTTGTTTTTTTCCCAAGGTTCTGTGGCAGGCGGCGCGAGCGATCGAAGCTCAATGCAGGAGCACAGTCCTTTGTTCCTTCGGCTCCTGTGGTTATTAACATGTGTGGTGAGTTGGCAAAGGAGGGTCTTGCAACTTGCACAATTCAATTTTATCGTAATTGCATTAATGATGATACTTTGCCAGCCAATTCGGATTCCCTCAAAGATGGTACCGCTCGGTTGATTGGTTCTTCAGCTTCGGCTATTGCCGCCCCTTGCTTCCAAAACCATCCTCGTGGCCGTGCCGCTGCCATGGGATTGCAGGTCGTGAGTGAGCAGGACGCGGGCGCGCAGAGGCTCATCGACGACAAGAACTCGACCATTGCTTTCCTGTTGGGCCAGATGGAATGTCTACAAGTGCAAGTGCCCTTCCAGGGCAGCCTCGTCGCAGAGCCTGGTGTTTCTCAGCTCAACCAAGAGATGATGGCCAGCATCGAACGCTTGGATTCTCTTCTTCACTCGCAAGCTGCTGAACTGGACGCCCGTATCGGTGGGCTGGTTCGCTCCATGCGCAGGTGCGTCTCGGAATCCCTGGACACCCGGTTGCCTGCCATGCTAGAGAAACTCTGTGGTGGCCCGCTTCCCGCGGTTGCGAGCACAGTGCGGAACAAAGTTGTTAGCGAGTGCCTCCCAGTAAACGGGGATGGTTTCAAGGCTGAGGTCCCCAGCATCACGGACCAGCAGTTGCATAGAGCCAGTGAGGAGTTTAAGTCACTCATTGGCTCTTCTCTCTCTCTCTCTCTCTCGCGTCTCGGGGAAGCAGTGCAGTTCAGCTGTGCAGAGGCTGTGCGAGCTGCTTGTCGGAAGATCAGAGACGAGATGAATGAGAAGATTGCTTCGGTTCGAAAAGATGCGGGTATTGTTTCTTCAGGATGTCACTACCGTCGTGCATCACGGATTTGCTGTGGGAGAGCTTGTCACTCCAGTGGGCCTCAAGGCCAGCGCTCTCAATGGCATGCCTGGGGTTGTATGTGGAAGAGATTATGATAAAGGTTTCGTTGAGTTCCTCTGTTGCAGCGGTGCCAAGAAGCTCAAACCTGCCAACCTGGTGCGGGACAGTGGTACTGGTGCTATCGATCTTGCAGCTTTGGCTGCATCGTCGACTACGAGTACTGAGCTGGCTGTCGCTTGCTCCGCCTAGTGCTATCAAGACAAAGTGTGGCCGAGAGCACGAGTGGCATCCATCCATACATACATACATACATACATGTTTTGTATGCGTGTATGTATGTAGGTCGGTAGGTAAGGTAGGTGTTCGTGTATGTATGCATGCATGTATGTATACACGCATGCATGCATGTGTGTATGCATGTATGCAGTGTATATGTATATATACATATGTATGTGTGTTTGCACGTATGTATGTTTGCATGCATGTATGTATGTAGGTGTGAATAACTGTAGGCCTGTATGTGAATATGCACGTCCCTGTGTGTACATATATATATATATATATGAATGTACGTATGTGTATGTGTGTGCACCTCCCTTACGCCTCTGCTTTCCCCCTGGGCACGTTTCCGTCTGTATCCACGTGCCTTTTCCTCTGCCTCTTTGCCCTTCCCTCCCGTCGAGGTGACGCCTGAGAAGGCGGGCACCGCCGATGTCGGAATCGTCGGCATCGGCGTCATGGGCTCGAACCTGGCGCTCAACATGCTGGACAGGCCTCCAGCCCTTCCGTTCCACTCGCCATAGCCAGCGCCCACCCCGGACCTCCGACGTCATGGCCTTCTCGCGGCGCGCTGTCCACCCCACCCCCAAGATCCAGCGCCGCATTTTTGCGACACGGCCCCCTGAGGATCTCGACCCCTTTTCACCAGGACCAGCCAATTCCCTAGACAGCGACTGTTGAGGTGGCATCGATTATTGTTAGAGCCCGTCTAAGACACACAGTGCGCAACAAGGCGTTGTGGCGTGCCGTGCCGTGCCGTGCCCTGCCGTGCCCGCGTGTCGTACCTTGCCGTGTCTAGGTTGTAGAATGGGGCAATGCGCCGTGCCTAGGTTTTGACATTGACAGAATGTGTCGCGCCGTGCCGTATCGTTTTGTGTCGTGCCCGCGTGTCGCGCCGTGCCGTGCCGCGTCGTGCTGTGCCTGGTTCTAGAATGAGAAAATGTGCCGTGCCGTGCCCGTGTCCCGTGCCCGCGTGCCGTGCTGTGCGTGCCGTGCCCGTGCCGTGCTGATTCTTCAGCATGCAAAGGAGGGTCCACCCGCTTGCCATTCCGTGCCGTGCCGTGTGCCTGGCCATCACAACTCAGAGTGCAAGCCCAGAGTGCAAACCAGCCTCTGGCCGCGTGCTGCGCCGTGCGTGCCGAGCCGTGCCGTGCCCGCGTGGTGCGCCGTGCGGCCTGAAGCCCCAGGTGCCGTGCTGTGCAATGCCCGCGCGCAATGTTGTTCGCAATATGCCGAACATCCCAGCCTGCGAAGAAGTTACTGGCCGCGTGCCGTGCCGAGCCGAGCCGTGCAGCGCCCGCGTGCCGTGCCGAGCGCGCCGTGATGCGGAACAGCTGCTGCACGCGAGCCGTGCCGCGCCGTGCCCGCGTGCCGTGTCATGTCCATGCCCTGTTTATGTTTACAACAACACGTGCGTTTTCGCGTGCAACACTGGTGTCCAGCGTTTTGACGGCCCCAAGGCAGGGAAGCTGCCCAGAGAACAATCAGGTTCCAGTTCTGATTTTGGTTTCGGTTCTCATTCGTCGATAATTCTGGTTTTTCCCGCACCAGAACCAGACCAGGACTAGTCACAATCACGATGCACATTATTCAACGGTTGTCCACTGCTGCGATTGAAATTATACCTGGTTCTGATCACTATCGGGTCAAATGGCTAAACTACGCGTGCAAGAAAGGGGGCCAGACCAGAACCAGGACGAGGACTGGTCCTGGTCACAGTTGTTTCTGGCTCTGGTTGCATTAGTATTGTGGGATATTCGATGTGGTGTTTCGTGCTTCGGGGCTCGTGCGGGTGGGGGGCCGGTCTCGTGTTTTTTGTAATATTATTCACGTCGATCGACACAACACAGAACCGTGACCATGGCTGGTCCTGGCTACAGATGTGGTTCGGGTTGCATCATTATTGGCATCAAAGTATTATTGCAAACGTATCCAGGCCAGAACCGTGACCAGGCCTGGTCCTGTCCACAGTTAAGTTTCGTGTTGCATGGGCAGTGCGATCAAAGTACAGTTAATGCCAATCGAGCCACGCGAGAACTGTCACCTGGACCAGCCCTGGTCACAGTTGTGGTTCGGGTTACGTTTTGATTATCCGCGGGTGGTCTACATGCACCGTACCATGGCCACCTCCTCGGTGCATTTTCATAATTGCTGATTTGTGCACGATAGTGGCGCAGGGGTTCGGGATTGCCTTGCGCCCGCATCCGCGCCCTTGGATATCCTCGTGGGGTCCGGCGTTTCTGCGGGTTAGGGGGCAGAAGGATTCCTTTGAGAGGCCTCGTCATATGTAGGTCTCCGGGCGGTACGGTGCATAGTTGTTGTTATGCTTAGATGATAAAACCAATGCATCGTACCGCGTTTGGTTTCATCGGCGGCCTTAGAATTGGCCGTCGAGTTTTCTCATCGGCCCTTCTGGTCCGAGTGGGAGGCGTGTGCTTCCTCACTGGGCTCGCAAGTGGGCGTGTCCACGCAATGGACACTCGGCGATGCCAGGGGGCCCCTTGAAATTTCGAGGCTCGGCACCGTGATCAAATATCGTCCGCGTGAATTCGTACAGTATGAGACATGCAGATATCGATCCCAGGCCAGACTTGTAACCAGGACTGGTCCTGGTCACAGTTGCCGTTCGGGCTGGTTGTATGATTACGATATCCAAGAGGCTTACGCCATTTCGCCGGCCCCCAGAAGAGGCTGGGATTCCACGGTTGAGGCGTCGTGGGCTTCTTGGGCATTGTTTGGGGACTGTTGCGGGCGTCTTGGGAACTGTCTTGGGGCGGGGCTGAGCCTCTTGGAGGCAGTTTTGAAGCGTCAGGAGGGTAGTTTTGGAGCCTCTTTGGGGCCTTTTAGGGACCTCTTGAGGCTTATTGGGGGCCTCTTTTGGGCCGCTTGGGGGCTTCTGGAGGCTTCTGGGAGGCTTTGGAGCGAAAGATCGGAGTTTCGGTTCGCCCTCTCTCTCTTTCTTTGCCTCTCTTGGGGCCCTCTTGGAGCGATCTTTGGCCGTCTTGGGCCCCTCTTTGGGCCGTCTTGGAACCCCCTTGGGCCGTGCTGGGGTCCTTGTAGGGGCCTCTTGGGCAGTTTTGGTGCGGTCTCCGGGGCCTTTTGGGCCATGTTGGAGCGTCGGAAGCGCGAGAAAACGATAACCGCAAACATAACGAAAGGACCCTCAGGACCACCAATGGTTTTTTGCCTCTTGAGGCCCTCTTGGGAAGGCTCTTGGGCCCCTCTTGGGGCGTCTTGAAGGCGTCTTGTGGCGTCTTGGGGGCCATCGTGGGCGGCGTCTTGGGCGAGTCGTTCGGCGATTCGGCACCGTCTTGGCGCATCTTTGAGGTCACGGACGGCGGGTTTGGACGCTCCAGAGCGTCCTGGAGTGCGCGGGCGAGCCTGGATCCCCCCCCCCTCCCCCCTCAAATTGGTGTGTGGACCCTGGGGAAGGGGGGAAGGGGGAAGGGGGAGGGGAACAGCCAATCATCTCACACGCCTTCTCGCCCCCGGCAGGCGGGGTTCGGCGGATTCTGGGTGGTAATCGATCCAGACTAGAACCGTGTCCAAGACTGGTTCTGGTCACAGTTGTGGTTCGGATTGGATTGAAGCAGGTTTTGTTCGCTCCAGCCGGCGCCGACAGTAAGCAGCATCGTAATCGTGGCTTGGTTCGACTCCCTGGCTGGAGTTTTGGCCACGTTCGCAGGACAACCATGCGCTGTGACGAACGTGATAGGTGCCAGCACGGTTGGCGAGGCGAGTTGTGTATAGAATTTCTGTTCGTTCCCATTTCCTGCTCATCAAAAAAGGAGTTGTGGTTCGGATGGCATTCATATTATGAACTGTTCACGTCAATCAACCCAAGCCAGACATTTAACCAGAACCAGGCCCTCACAGTTTATCTTCGGGATGCGTTCATTATTTTAGAAGGTTACTAATGCCAACCGACACAGACCAGAACCATCCTTGTCACAATTGTCGCACACGTCTTCTGTCAATCGTTACGCGTCCTCCGTCAATCGTGAACTGCGACGCCAGGCTCATGGCGAGCGCCATGCGGACTCGCTGGTGGGGACACCTCGATTGGTAAGTCAGGGACCGCCAACAGGGTCTCCCAAAGGGGCGTTCCATGTTGAAACGTCTCCTAGAAATAGACAACGCGATGATGTTACGATCCCTACACGCTGACCAAGCCGCTGCTGTCTTCGTCGACTTCGCGGCCGCGTTCCCCTCCATCCACCAGGAGTCAGTACATCACAGAGTGCTTGGAACACGTCAGGGTGCCGTCCTTGGCAATCAACGCCTTCCTGAGCCTGCACGACGAGTGCAAGTGCAATGGATCCGTCAAAGGCCGTCGCATCGAAGGTTTCAGGATTACTTCCAGGGTTCGCCAAAGGTGCCTTTTGCCGCCGTTGATCTGCGCTGTCGTAGCGGAGAGCCTACTGGATACCATTGAGGCACGCTGCCCCGACGTCATTCTCCGAACCTGTGCTGGAGACGCGGCGTTCGTGCTGAAGGAGTTCTGGGGGTCGACGCCGGATCTTGTGAATGTCTTCGACATGTTTGAGAAGATCTTGGGCTTGCGCTTGAGGGCGGCGAAACAGTTTGTCATCTTCTCAGTGCTTCCACCTTCAGCGACTGACTTCGATCGCTGGGAGTTGAGGGACGTGTCGCTGTGGGCCGTAATGCCAGTATGTGCGTCATGCAAATACTTTGGTCGCCAAATGAGGCCTTGCAAGGGCGAGATGTACTGGGGTAAACCATGGCGCAAATACGTCGAGCGATTTGGGTTCTGGAAAGACTGGCCGCTCGGCCTGCATTGGGACGCCCGCGTGTACAACATTTTCGCTGCGCCACTTCTCAGCTACGCCAGACAACTCGAGGACCCGCGAGAGTGGGTGGTGACGGGGGCCGCCAAGTCCTGGAGCAGAGAAATGAAAAGGGCCCGGCGAGTGGGCCACGACGATGGACCTCTGGACCTTCACGGAGGCGTTCCAGTGGAAGGCGTCTTCCAGAACGTGGAGTGCGCCGCCGCAGCAGCCAAAGTTCGGGTCGCCCAGTTTGACAAGGCGCGCTCCCCGCGGCAGCAATGCCAGGAGCACGTGCAGAGAGCCAGAACTGCAATCGGCAATCCTGTTCGCGACCGCTCGCGCTGGCTTGGGCCGACTGGTATGGCGGGGCGTTTGTCATGTGCTTCGCGCAGGTTGAGGGGCGCCTCGCCTGGCAGGCCGATTCCGTGGAAGCCCTCCAACAAGTCAGCCGACATGGCGGCCAGCCGCGGGGGCGCGGCGCCCTCTGGCGCAAAGATTGCCAAAACGCCGTGTGCGGTTTCCTTGCTGCGAATTCCTTGAAATGCCTTCTGAGTCGGAGACGGGCATAACTTGGCCGCTGGAAGCTGAGAGAGCCGCCCCGCCACCCAACGATCTGCGGGGGCGTGTGCGAACGGGCCCCGGAGTGGCAGGGCCGGCGCGCCGTGTTCTTGCTCCGCATGCTGGGCGCGCTCGCGCCGCCGAG